TAGATATAGGCAAATCATATATCTGAGGTGAGTGCAAAGTTGTCTCTGGGCTTTCTGATGCCAAGTCAGAAAGGGAGATACATGTTAACCTGTTCAGAATGAACCCCTGGGAGACAGTATTCTGCTTGCTTATGGGAACTGAGCATTTGCATAGAAAACATTGGGTATCCCTTGGCCACATAGATGATGATGTGGACAGTGCCTCTGTGTATCTGTTGGGGGGGGGGTTTCCAGCAACCTGCACTGGTGATGATTATCTGTTGCTAAAACATAACTTAAGGTTTCCCTGGAGTTGTTAAAACAGTAGTGTGTCTAGAAAACTTTTGGAAGGCCTTTTGAGACAGGGATTCATCTAGGAATATCTGACAGTTAAGACCACTGTGACTCATAAACTTCCTTTGTCTTCCTCTTACTAGTCTATATACACAGGCTATCCCCCAAACTGTTCAGTGGTTTTGTTTGTTTTTTACATTTTAAAATGTCAAATTTATTAGGAAAAGGAGAAAGAAAAGTAGAGGCACTTTCACAGTCAGAGGTTGGCGGAACTATCACTGTTGCTTTGCAAAGGGAAAAGAAATGCTTACATAGTCAAAGGGAGGCAGGAGAGCGGCCCAGTGTTTTTACACTGCTTTTCACTTTCATCTACTCAATATAATCTTATTTCTTTATTAGTAAAGCCTAAGTTGCAACAGATCTGTTGGCTGTTCCCTAGTCTTTTTCTTACTGAAAATACCATCCAGGATCTTCTGGAAGTTTCTGTATATTGGCTTCTATCATGACCTCTCAGATTATTTCTTCTCTTTTTCCCTGAATTATTCTTCTCCTGAACAAAGCTTATCTATATGTTCACTTTGGTTCCCTTTTCTTTGAACTGCAGTTCTCCTAGATTGAGTCAGTCTCTTGTAGTTTGGTTGTTCCATCGATTACCCTGCCAGCTTGTACCTCCTTCCCAGCCTCAGACTCAACTTTACAGTCGTTGAGTTAGTGCTGGAGACCAGCTCCTGTGAACTGCGTTGAGGAGATGCACTGAAAGAACTTGGAAATAAAGAAATGACAGCCATAAAATAGGGTTTAAGAGAAGCAGGATGCAGGGAACGCAAGTTTCATGCTGGGCTCAGGAGCCCAGAGTGCCCCGTGCAGCTCATTTTTATGGAGGCAAGGTGACCCCCTCCCTTTTGCTTAGTTGCAAGGTAATGATTTGTTTTCTTGGTATTCAGCGTTGATGTGGCACACATTCACTGCCAAGGTTCTGTGTTATCAGGTTGTTTTGTTCCCACACCTGTTTTTCCTTTAAACGTAGCTTTGCTGATACAAGGACTTCACAGTCTGGACACGGGTCAGTCTTCCAGCCCATGTTGACCAGTTTTCCAGTCATGACTATGAGAATTTCCTTGCTTCAGCATTTTAATCCTTAAGGGTCTCCCACAAGTTAGCACCTTAAGCTCCTCCAAAATGAAAACTACATCGTGCATTCTGCTCTTATATATGGAAATATTTCCTTCAAGCCAGTGACTCAAACCAACTGAATGGTATTTCTCTTGGACTTTTCCCTTGTTCCAACTTAATCTCATTTAATACAAGTCCTGTAACCTTTGTTCTTCAGTATTATCTTATGTTTCCAAAGGTGCTCACAGGAAAGAAAAACATAGTCACTTTGTTTTACATTATAATCATCATTCTTGGCAAAACCTGAAGGATGCATTTGCTCAGTGATAGGGAGATCCCACTCCCGCTGGCCAGTGTATGGAGTCCAGAGGGAGAAGGTACTCAGGGACATGTTCTATAATTGTCGAGACAAAGACACACTGAGAGTAGAAAAATGGAACATATGCATTTCATCACTTTTAACTTTGTCTTTCTAATTTTATGACAGTGATTCTAAATATAGTCTTTATTAGTAAATAATTTTGTGTTTCTTGCTCAGAAACTACCTCCTAACAATTTCATACTTTTAAAACACTTTTTAATTGCACTTTGGAATAAATTAAAATTAGTGTAAAGTGGACATGTGTACATTTTACCAATCATATCCCATATGATTATGGGATAGAAATCTGGTTAGTAGTTGATTTCTGTTGTGATAAGTGTATATAACATAAAATTTACCATCTTAGCCATTTTGTGTATATAGTTTTGCATTGGCATTTAGTAGTTTCAGAATTGTCCAACCATCACAGCCATTCATCTCCAGATTTTTTTCATTTCTCCAAATGAAACTGTAGTCATTAAATACTATTCCCTCCTTTTCTCCCATTAGCACCCACCTTTTCTCTCTCTTCCTCTATAACTTTGATCACTTTAAGACCTTCACATAAGAATCATATCTTTTGTGACTGTGTTTATAATACTTAGCACAAAACTTTAATGTCTGCACATGGTGTAGTACCTGTTATTTACTTCCTTTTCAAACTTTAGTAATATTCCATCATGTGTCTATATCACATTTTATTTGTCTGCTTATTCCTCAATGGGTACCTGGACAGCTTCCATCTTTTGATTGTGGTCAATAAGGCTCTTAGGAACGTCAAGTATACAAACTATCTTTTCGAGTTTCTCCACTTATTGCTTTTTGGTATGTACCCATTGGAGTTGTTGGAGCATGTTATAATTCTCTCTATAGTTTTTTTCAGGAACCACCATACTGTTTTCCCAAATGGTTCCAGTTTTCTCCACGTTCCTCCCAACACCATTCTTTTTTTTTTTTTTTGGCTTTTTAAGAAATAATATCCATCCTAGTGGGTATAATGCTGCATCTTCATATTCTTTAGATTTTTTTTTAAGTTTGTTTTCTTTTTAAGGTTTATTCTCTTTTGCATGCAAACTGGGGTACAGGCCAGAGGCCTGGGTCAGTATGGAGGATTCACCAGAGACAGATCGGTTCTGGAGAGGTATGCCTCACCATGTGCATCACCTCTGGAGCTGGGAATCGAATTCACTGTAGTGGCTGTGGCTCACTTGCCCATTTTTTTTTTTTAAGATTTACATATTTAAATGAACAACCATATACCAGAGACATGTTGTGGGGGTGGAGTGGGGAATGGGATCAAAAAGGGGTGGGGAGGGAAATGCATGGGACTATAGTGGTGGCACACAGGTGTTTTGGTGATGGGAAACCCGCGGGGATTACAATCGAGATGGAAAAAAAAAATGTGCAAAATGATGTAAAAATTAACTTTTGTAATAATTAAAAAAAAAAACATTTACATATTTATGTGTACAGAACTGGGGTACAGGCCAGAAGTGTGGGAGGGTGAGAGGATTCACCGGAGAAAGTGCAGGGAGCAGAACAGGCTGATTGACTGAAGTGCACTGCTGAAGGGAGTAGCAGGCAGGTCAGGAGAGGTCTGCCATACCATGTGGGTCAACCCTCTGGCAGGGGTTCGAACTCATGCTGATGATAATTCCACTGTTTATCCATTCACTGACTGAAGGGCATACTCGTTCTTCCTAAGTTTGGATAATGATGAATAAAGCTGTTTGCACATTTAAGTGCTGTGTTGGTTTTTCTAATGGTCTCACAATAGTAGAGGGGCAATGTTTTAGTGCACTAAAAATATATGAACCTACATCTCCTATTACTTATACATACATCTTCACACATTGAGTCAGTCCCCTGTGTCAGTGTTTTTTTCCTTTAAGCAATTATCTGCTTTTAAGAAATTAAGAGAAGAGGGCCCTCCCTGGCGCAGCCAGTTAAAGCACTGCACTCTGAAGTTAGTCATAGCTTCTTCAGCACTATGAACCTAGCCTCAGCCGTTTCAGCTTGAGTTCGATCCCTGGCTGGGGAGCTGACCCACATGAGCGTGCTGCTCCACTTAGAAGTGTACTTCGTCAATCTGCCTGTTCTGCTCCCCACTCTGTCTCTGGTGAATCCTTTCACTGCACTTGCACTTCTGGCCTGTGCCCCACTTCTGTATGTATAAGTAAATAAATCTTTTTTAAAAAATTAAGAAAAGAATTGTCCTAGCATGTGTCTACCTGAAATGTCTTTATTTCTCCTTTTCTTTTAGCCTGCTTTCACTGGATTTAGAATGTTTCCTTTGGGTACTTTGAAGATATTTTTCCCTTGCTCTGATGAGAAGTCATCCATAGTTCATACATGGTTTACTCATATGCTCTCTTTGTTTCTGGATGCTTTCAGCATCTTGTCTTATTTTTGGATGGTGGCAGTTTATTATATGTTTGGAGTAATTTTCTTTTTTTAAAGATTTATTTATTTACACTTCCAGAACTGGGTACAGGCAAGAGGTGTGGTGGGTGGGAGGATTCACCAGAGACCGAGTACAGTGCTGAGGGTGGGTCAGGAGAGGTCTGCCACACCATGTGGGTGAGCTCCATGGCCGGGAATTGAACTTGCGCTGCAGTGGCTTTGGAGAGCTTCTTATACTGTGGTGCTTTAATCCCTTGCGCCATCAGGGAGAACCTGGAGTCATTTTCTTTGGTCTGACTTGACTATGGGTCTTTAAGTTTATTAGATTTTTAAATTTGGAAAAGTTTTAGCCCATTGTTTCTCAGAGTGTGTATTATGTTTCACACTTTCTCTCCTTTTCTTCCATAACTCCAGTTACATGTAGGTTAGGCTGTCCCCCAAGGTCTTTCTGAGCATCTTTCCATTTTCCTTCATTTTTTTTCTCCTTTATAAAAATTAGAAAATATGTTCTTCTATTATTTGTTCAGTTACTTTCTTTTTCTGTATGAAATCTGATATTTCATCAGTAAATTTTTCATTTTCCTTACTTAACTTTCCAGTATCAATTTTGTTGCTTTTCTAGTTTCTTTTTCCTTAGCAATTGTTCTACCCTTAATATATTGTTTTTTCTTTATATACTTAAACTTACTAAGTATGCAAACCAGTTTAACCATCTTGTCTACTACCTGCAGGATCCAGGATACATTCATTTTAGTTTCTAGGGACTTTGTTGTTGTTCATCTTTTTCCTTCTTGAATATGACACATATTTCTGTTTCTTTACTTGCATAGGGTTTCTGAATTATATCCTGTCCTGGACAATGTAAATCATATATGGTGGCAATTCTGGATCTTCTTATATTCCTGAAGAGTAATTTTAAGGATCTTAAGGCAAGTTAACTTGGTTGGACTCAAATTCCACACTTCTTTCCTTGCAGTGTCTATTAGCTGACTCTCTGTTTCCTTCACTTCTCTTGGCTGCTTCTGTCTACTTTAGTCTGTCTTGCCTGTATTTATCACTTAAGTCTTTTTCCTCTCAATTGGACTGTTGTTCAGCTCTCTTAAGTCTTAAGATTGTTTTACTGCCTAACACCATATCATTATTTCAAAGTAAGGGTCAGTAAGTGATAGCCTAGGCTCAGTATGGTTGCTTCTGTTTTTGTATGTTCTGTAAGCTGATGGCTTATTATCAGTTAATATATTTGTAATGAGCTTTATTTTCTTCTTGACTGTGCTTATGGACTCTTAATTTTGAGGATTTATTTTATTTATGCAAACAAGAGCTGGGGTCTAGGCCAAAGGTGCAGAGGTAGGTGAGAGGATCCACCAGAGATAAAGTAGGGAGCAGAATCATTGAGATATGCTGCTGAGTGGAGCATTGGGTGAGACAGGAAAGGTCTGCTGCACCGTGTGGGTCAGCTCCCTGGCTTAGGATTGAATTTGTGTTGCAGATGCTGCTAATAACTTCATAGTGCTGAGATTTAAACCCTTATGCCACAAGGTAGGCCTCCCTGGGCTCTTATTTTTGAAACAAGATATTTGGTATTCAAATTTTCCCTTTTTTTTTTTTTTTTTAAAGATTTCTTTATTTGTGCATACAGAACTGGGGTACAGGCCAGAGGTTCAGGGGCGGCGAGAGGCTTCAGCAGAGACAGAGTGGGGAGCAGAACAGGTAGATCAAGGAAGTACACTGCTGAAGGGAGCAGCGGGTGGGCCAGGAGAGGTCTGCCGCACCATGTGGTCACCTCCAGGGCAGGCAGGAATCGAACTCATGCGGAAGTGGCTTTAGCTTCTCAGTGCAGTGCTTTAACCCGCTGCGCCACCAGGGAGGGCCCAAATTTTCCCTTTTTTTAAAAAGATTTATTGATTTTTTTATACATAGAAATAGTCAGCTAATGGTCCCTACAAGGAAAGAAGTGTGGAATAAGAGTTCAAGTTAACTTGCTTTAAGATCAAAATTACTCTTAAGGAATATAATAGGATCCAGAATTTCTGCAACATAAGATTTACAGTGCTTCATAGTGCTGCAACCTAACCCCTTACACCACCATAGTGGCCCACATTTTCCTTGTTTTTTACCCTAGTCTACATTTAACATCCTTGAGCACGTTATCCCATGTATGTGTGTATATGTTTACAAGCTAGGTTATAATCTCATTCAGGAGCAGAATTATGTTCATTCCTGTGTTCACATCAGTAAACACTTCCAGATTTGTAAGTAATTTTCGGAAGTTAGACAATATAGATGTAGGCTCTTTGCTGTGTTAAATCTCTTCAAAGAATGGTGCATCTGTGTTATAGAAAAGACTGCAAAAGAAGGCATTCCCTGATCTCCTGTTATGAACCAGCTGATATTTTCAATTGAGGAAAAATATATCGTTACAGGGGATGGTGTCATTTGAGGACGTGGCTGTGAACTTTACTTGGGAGGAGTGGCGGGACCTGGATGATGCTCAGAAGATACTATACCGGGAAGTGATGCTGGAGACCTACAGTAGCCTGGTGTCTTTGGGTGAGCACAGTTTGCTTGTAACAGCCATGTGCAAATACTGTTTTTTCTATGGGTAAACGTGCAACTATTTATGATGTTCCTATTAATTACTTTTTATTATGAAAGCAAAGAATATTTGCTGACCTAATCAAAGGTTTACATTGTCCCTCATTGCACAGCTCTTTTTTTTTTTTTTTTAAAGATTTATTTATTTATGAGTATAAGAACTTGGGTATGGGTCAGAGGTGCAAGGGGGTAACAGGATTCACGAGAGACAGTGGGCAACAGAACAAGTGGACTGATTGAAATACTCTTCTCATGGGAGCAGCGGGTGAGACCAGAAAGGTCTATTGCACCACAGGGGTCAGCTTCCTGGCCTGGGTTCAAACTCATACTGTAGTGGCGGCGGATAGCTTCATAATGTTAAAACCTAATCCCTTGTGCCACCAGGGAATCCCCTAATGTCATTTTTCAAAGGCATAAACTTAAGCAGTTTGGTCAAAGGCCTTCATTATTTTTCATCACAGGGCTTTCCATTAACAAACCTGAGGTGATCATCAGGTTGGAGCAAGGAGCAGAGCCATGGACTATAGAAGAACCCCCAAACCAGATCTTCTCAGGTCAGTCAGTACATATTGGGTAGGGCGGCTAGGAGGAGGAGAAGCCAGCAGGTGCAGGCCACATTGAACTATGTTCCCTAATATTCAAACTTTAGGACAATTTGTCTATGTGAATCAGACTAATTTATTATTCACTTTCCATATGTGGCTTTTCATTTGTAAATATGGCCTTCTTGCAAATGTTCTCCAGCATTTTAATGGCTGTGAATTTTCTCACATTTAAATAACATCCAATCCCAGACTGTATCCTCTTAAAACTTTTTCTTGGTTACTCTCTTTGAATTATTTCTTTTACTCCATTCTCATCTACTCTTCATCCAGGCATTTATTCATTGTTTGTTCTTTCAACATGTTAATGGGAAGTTTTAGACATTGTTAATTTTACAGTCTGAGGATAACAACTGTAATCAATGAAGCATTATTTTATGGAACTTGTATCTTGTTTAGAGAAAAAAATGAAACAAATACACATTAATTGATAAGAACAGAGAAAGTGTTTAACTAGGATAAGAGAGAAAAAAGGAGGACATTATTGTAGAGCCTGTGCTCAGACTAACCTATAGACATACAATATAGAGATTTAGTTTGTGGTAAATTTTAGTTTGAATAGTAGTTTATATATAATCCAGAGTATAGGTTGGATATTATTGGAGATGTAATTAGGAAATCATCAAATCAAAAGTGCTAGGAGTAAAGGAGGTTGCCTAGGAAGTTTTAAGAACGTGAGTGAAGAGATTCAGGGCAAAACTAATGACCTACAATATCAGAAATTGTGAAGTTGAGGAGGACCCAGCAAAATTCAGCAGCGAAAGTGATTGCCTGTGACATGGGAGGAGACAGTAAAGATTGTGGTTTCCAAAGCCATAGAACTAAGAGTTTCATTTGGAGGGGCCTTATACTTTGGGGATTGAGTTTGAAGTTTTCAATTACAACTTTTGTGGAAATAATTGTAGAAAAACACTTGGGTTTCTAGTTTAAGTATAACCAGGATACAGCTGAAAATCTAAAATATAAAAGTTTTTAGGTGCAATGAATTATCATGTAGGAACATTTCAACCAAGAATGAGAATATCAACATTGTTTAGCTCATCAGGATGTGGAAAAGGCTTTTTAAAGATGGTGGGATGAGCACAGCAAGGGTTGCAGAACCTAAATCCTTTAGAATAGCACGAAATTGTTGCACAATATGGATGAGGTAATCTTTTTTTCTATTTGTTAAGGTTCTGAGAAAACAATTATGTAATGTTTAATTAGAAATTCACAGAAAACTGTTATGCAGAAGATGACATTTTGCCTTTGAAAAACCCACAGATGCCTATACCCTTGCCCAAAGAGAAAAAGTAAACAAGTACGGGTGCAAAATCCTTATCCCTAAACAATATACCTGCTCACATGAAACTTCTCCCACATACATTAGGTAGCAGTTTCAGGAAAATGATGCCATTAACAAACCTTGATTGCTCAGAAAAGGACCAGTGCAAGATAAACACAGTTATTATAAGGAAAAAGTGGTAAAACAAATGGTAGGTGAAATGTTCTCAAGCTGGATTCTATACCTAGAGTAGTGAATATATTAACCAAATATTTCCCTATGAATTTAAAAATTAAAATGATACTAAAGAGAACCCTTCCTGGTGGCGTAGTGGGTGGGAATGCAAAGCTAAGCCAGACCGTGGCGCTTCAGTGCGAGTTCAATGCCCTGCCCCAGAGGTGACCTACATGGCGCAGCAGACCTCTCGTCTCACCTGCTGCTTCCCTCTGCAGCGTACTTCGTTGATCTACCTGTTCTGCTCTACACACATTGTCTCTGGTGAATCCTCTCACCACCTCTGCACCTTGACTATACCCCATTTCTGTATGTATCAATAAATAAATAAAATCTTTTAAAAATATATTAACGAATTACTGTTGGTTCTTTTTGAAAGATTTATTTACTTATACATACAGAATTCGGATACAGGCCAGAGGTGCAGGGACAGTGAGAGGATTCACCAGAGACAGAGTATGGAGCGGAACAGGTAGATCAACGAAGTACACTGCTCAGGGGGCAGCTGGTGGGACAGGAAAGGTCTACCACACTGTGTAGATCACCTCCTGGGATGGAGGATCGAACTCACTGAAGCAGCTGTGGTAGCTGCGTCCTAACCCATTGAGCCACAAGGAAGGCCCTACTGTTGCTTCTTTTATTAATTCATTTGATTTGATATCAGAAAACCTATTAATGTAGTTTATCACATGAGGGAGAGAATTCCCATATCATAAAATCCAAAATCCATCGTTGTTTTTTTACTTTTACAGTTGTGTTCTACAATTACACAGTAAACCGTTTTGGCCTTTATATTAGTATTCCACAGGAGATGCTTAGATGATGCTCATGGAAATGGTTGTTGTTTTGTTTTTGTTTTTGTTTTTTTGTTATCTCTTTAGATGTCTATACATTGGATGACCTGATTAAGACCAACCAGGAAAATAAGGGTAGAGATTTGTGGCAAGTTCTAGTTACCAACAGCAAAACATCAACTAAGGAGAGAACTGACCTTCATAAAACATTTAATTTGCACACAATTATGAACATCCCTCATAATTTGAACTTGTGTATAAAAAACAATAACTATACAGCAATGATTCCTGAGGAATTTGATGTATGTAAGAACATGTTTTCCCCTTGTGATCCTGATGGTATACATAAAGGAGAGAAACCCAAGAACCCTAATATTCCTGGGAAATCCCTCAGATATCCTGAGTTCCCTAGTCTTCATCAGGTGATGCAAAGTTTGCAGCATCCTTTTAAATTTAGTGGACAAGAGAAAGCTTTCAACAAAGAAACAAGATTCTTTACACACAGGAGGGCTATCACAGGAGAAACTACCTGTAAAATTAATGAGTGTAAGAATACCTGTGATACACTAGCTCTCATTTTCCAAGAAGGAAATGAAATAGGGCAGACTCCCTATATCTGTAATGAATTGGGAAAACCCCTTTCTGAGAATCCAACACATTTGAATCTTCCTAGAGATTTTGAAAATGAACATCAGACACGCAATCAACATGGGAATTACTTTGTTAAGAAATTACACCTCCCTGAGCCTCAGAGAACTCCATTTGGAGAAGAAATTTTTGAATATAATACATGTGGTAAAACACTTTGTAAAATCTCTGTTCTTGCTAAACATCAGAAAAGACAAGCAGGTGATAATTCTTACAGATGCTGGAAAAATTCTGAGATGTCAGCACCCAAAAGATATCAAACAAATCTAACTGGAGAGAAACCCATTGAATATAAAGAATGTAGGAGAACTTTCTGCAAGATGTCAGTCTTTACTGTTCATCAACAGTCTCTCACAGGAGAGAAACATTATGAATGTAAACAGTGTAGGAAAACTTTCAGTCAAAAGTCAGAATTTAGTGTACATCAGACTACTCACACAGGAAAGAAACACTATGAATGTCAAGAGTGTCGGAAAACTTTCTACCGGAAGTCAGCCCTTTGTGTGCATCAAAGAACTCACACAGGAGAGAAACCCTATGAATGTCAGCAGTGTCAAAAAACTTTCTGCCAGAAGTCAGCCCTTCGTGTTCACCAGGGAACTCACACAGGAGAGAAGCCCTATGAATGTCAGCAGTGTCAAAAAACTTTCTACCGGAAGTCAGTCTTTAATCTACATCAGAGAACCCACACTGGAGAGAAACCCTATGAATGTCAGCAGTGTCAAAAAACTTTCTGCCAGAAGTCAGCCCTTCATGTGCATCAGAGAACTCACACAGGTGAGAAACCCTATGAGTGTCAAGAATGTAGGAAAACTTTCAGCCAAAAGACAGCTCTCACTGACCATCAGAGAATGCATACAGGAGAAAAACCCTATGAATGTCAACAGTGTAGGAAAACATTTCACTGGAAATCATCCCTCATTGTACATCAGAGAAGTCACACAGGAGAGAAACCCTATGAGTGTAAACAATGTAGGAGAACGTATTTCCAGAAATCAGCCCTCACTGTACATCAGAGAACTCACACAGGAGAGAAACCATATGAATGTCAAGATTGTAGGAAAACTTTCTTCCAGAAATCAGCTCTCACTGTACA